CTCTCCCCCCGCCGTGGAATGCGAGCGAGCGTTTCCCCTCCTTTCAGAACGACTCGGTGGTTGCCGGCGGGGGTGCCATAGAGATGGAGCTTTCCAAATACCTCCGGGACTACTCCAGGACCATTCCAGGCAAGCAGCAGCTGCTGATCGGTGCTTACGCTAAAGCCCTCGAGATCATTCCCCGCCAGCTCTGCGACAACGCTGGCTTCGACGCCACCAACATCCTCAACAAGCTCCGGGCCAAGCACGCGCAGGTGGGTGCCCACCCCTGAACCGAGGGCTCTGGGGGAGAACCAGTCACCTGTGGGGGCTTGGTTGGTTGTTTTTTTTTTCCCTTTCCTTTCTGAGCCCGATGGATCCGGTGTCATTCAGCTCGGCTCGTGTTGGGCTTGTGTCCTCTTTGATTAAACGCCGTGTGGTGTTTGCAGATCGAGCGGGGGCTTGGTGCAGGCTTCTATAAAAGGAAAGGACCCGTTTTTTTTCCCTTTGATCGCAGCTGTCGGGTGACTTCTAGCGCTGGGAGTTTGGATTTGCTTTATAAAAAGGCATCATTTGTCAGGAGGGAGGCTTCTATATTAAACTTTAAAGCGGTTTAGAGCGTGGAAGGCGGCCCAGCCGTGCGTTTTCCAGAGGAGCTGCAGACTGGAGCTCCGGATGGCGACCGTTTTGGGGTTTGTGGCGCGCGTGCCTGCACACACAATCCTAATCCACGCGGTTGGAGGCCGCCCCTTGGCTTCTCACTGCTTTGTGGGGTCGCTCCCGCCACGTTTCATCCTGCTGGGGATCATGGGGTTGGGGGAAATGCCCCGAAATTCCACCCTACGGCAAGGTCCGGTCTCTCCCTCAACGCCTGCGTGTCTTTGCTTCCCAGCGAGCTGTCCCTGGCGTCCTGCCCGGCCCAGTAACGAGTCCCTCTTCCCCCTCCTGTCCCACCAGGGCGGTATGTGGTACGGTGTGGACGTCAACAACGAGGACATCGCCGACAACTTCGAGGCCTGCGTGTGGGAGCCGGCCATCGTGCGCATCAACGC